ATAATATAATATATATATATATATATATATATATATATATATATATATATATATATATATATATATTGATATATATTGATATATAAAATAAATTTATAATTTTGAGACTAATCTGAAACGTAAGGTAGAAGGTACGGTAGGGAGACTTCAACGCACGGTAGAGAGACTCCAAAGCGCGGTAAAGAGAGCAACGGAGGCAGCAAAATGTTTCAGATCCGTTGAAACAGAAAAAGACAATTTTAACGTACTTCTTTTATGGTACTGTAGAGTGAAAATGGTAACTTATAACTCGTGTGTCGTTCACCACGTACGCTACTTTCTGACGAGCGAATGATGAAACGGGCTTATGCAATGTAGAATGCGTTTAGAAAGATCACAACCGTACGATACTGTAACGTTACAACAGAAGAAAAACGTGGGGTTAACAATAAGTGCGGTTCGCGCTGTTAAACAACGATCTCGGGTTATCGTCACAGTCAATTAATTCGTTCGTTCGTCTCGAATACCGATCGTTGTCGCCTGTTTCGCTGTCCCTATGCAATATTATTTGATTGTCAAATTAATGCTTGCACATCTTAGAAACTCTCATTCTGCTCGGTCGGCGGCGGTTTCTTCTTTGCGGTGTGAACGATATAAACAAAATATAAATAAAAATATATAATAAATATAATATAAATATAATACGATATAACAATAAAATATAAACAATATATTCCCCACGTGTTGAGACTTGTTAAGATTCGATTAGGAAGACTGACTTCCATGCAGTATCACTTAAGACAATTGATCATATCGCTGACCAATAATTAAAAGAAGTTAATTTTAATGGAGGATATATACAGGGTGGGCCGCAGTTCGTAGTACAACCGGGAACTGGGCGATTCTACGCAGAAAAAAAATAAGAAAAAAATTTGGTACAACATCTTTTTATGCCGGACACCGTTTTCGAGAAAATCGACTTTAAAGCTTGTTCATCTTTCCGAAGAATTTAGTTGTCGTCTAATAATTATAATTATTTACCGACAGCGTCGTATCGTGATTTATTATTGTTCTCGTAATCCTCATAATAATAATAGGCATCGTATTGACTCGTCGACGGATCTTCAACGTAATCCTCGTCCCTCGGCGAGCCGTTCGTTCTCGAAGACAGATCAGCGGATGATCGTTCACGCGTCGCCGTGTCGCTGATTCCCTCGGGATTTTTCGATTGTTCGGGATCCGTTTTCGACTCCGATTCAGTCTCGTAATCGTCCTCGTAGACCACTTCCTCCTCTACCTCCTCGTGCACGTTGTCCTTCCCGTTCGTCTTCGACGTCTCCATGACGTTGTTCTCGTCCAAGGAGCGTGAAAACGGTTCCGCCGGCTTACCGGTCGGCGAGACATTTTTCTCTAGCTGCTCGTACACCGAATTCGTCGGTATTAACCGTGAAAATCGGTTGCTCGACCAGGACTCGGCCGTTCCTTTGAAACAGAAAATAGAATAGTATCGATTAAATAACATACTCTTTTACTAATTCAGAAATTATAATGTTCGAAATTATCTCGCTTCGTGTTCCACAATTAATTTTTATGGACGATCAAAGTTATGTCAAGATTATTTTAAAGTATCTTGTGTAAAATAACCAATATATAATCTTGGTATAACCTTGCTAAATTACGATTAACGAGCTTGAAAAGTTCGAGCCGAAAGCGACGGCCACGGAGAGCGAGTCGCGCGACGGAAGCGGGGAGGCGTAGCCCTCGCGATCCGAATGTTGCGTGCCGGTTAATTCCGAGCCCCGGTCTCCGTTATGCATTACTACTGTGTATAAAGTTGTGATCGGATATCGAATTTTGTAGGTTTGCGAATAGACGAAACGTTGTTGCGAACAGCTAATAAGAATTGGGAATTGTACAAGCGCGTTATTGTTGCTCTACGTGCGGGAAGCTAACGCGGTTTTGTGAGAAACTGTCCCGAGTCGTCTACGAAAGAAAGCAAACGCGCTTTCCAGCATTGTTTCTCCGCGTTTTGTAACAGCCGTTTGTTGGAAGAGGAGTACGTTTCGTTCGCTCATCTTCGTGGAAAATTCGGGCTGGAACAATGAACCACGTTCCATTCTCTGTCGTGATCTCTTAAGTAACCATTCATTCCGTGTTCGTTGACATTTTCACGATTATTCGAACGTACATTGTTGCCAATTTAAAAACTACGAAACAATCAGAATTTTATTTCTACTTTGTATTTTACCTCGATAATTGCTTCGGCAACAGAAATATAAAAAGATAAGAGATTTATATATTTATATAGTTATTTATATACTTATTACTTATATACTTATTTATATATTTATATACTTATATATAATATAAGTTATATAATGTTATATAATATAATATACTTATATATTTCTGTATTTCTATATTTATATTAAATTCTTCAAAACAGCAAATTTTCGGCCCATATTTTCGACGTTCCGGTTCCCAATTCTTTCAATATTCCCTATTAAACGTGTTGCTAATTATCACAAAAATTTCTCACGTGATACGGATGCTTTCGTTCGGAAACGGCAGAGTAACCGAGGGCAATTTCGTGGACGTTACGGCGAATATAATCGCGGCAGTGACCGGCTTCTCCTAGTTTCCGATCGAAAAAAAAAGTAGGCTCCACTTTCGAGACTGTGCATGTATCACGAAAACCGATGAAACTCTCCTATCGACGAAGATACAACGATTTACGCGTTTCTCGACTTTCTTATTCGCTTGGTCGTTTAGCCAGGGACTTCCAACGATGTGGACGAATAACAATGTTGTAGCTTCTGCGATACACGCACCGTGCAAAATCCTGCGCCTGAATTCCAAAAAGCAACGAAGTTCAAACAGTGTTGCTAAAAAAAAACGTTGGACACATTTTTCTCGGGTCTGTGTTTTTTCCGTTTTAAATTTCACGATATTTTAGAATTTACTCTCGAGTTACAGTAAATTCTACCCAATTGTTACTCAGTGTTTAAACAAAAATGAACCACTTGGGAAGAGGAGATACTATAAAAATAACTATAATAATATAATATATAACTATATAATAATATAATATATAACTATAATAATATAATATATAAATAACTATAAAAATCCCCTCTTCCCAAGTTGTCCATATTTGTTTTACAAGCCGAGCAACAATCGGGGAGAATTTATCGCACTTCGTAATCTTACGTTCAAGCCTCCAACCGTCGATAAAACATGAAACAAAAATTGATAACCACCAGGCCTCCGGTGAATGACCCGTTAATATTTAGCATCATTAACGATGTCCGTTTCACGCCGCTCGACGCCTACGCATCTTCCATGGCGAACGTTGCAAACGTAAGGAGAGTCGTTCGGATCCTATTTTCGCGATCCATCGTGTAACGATATTGCGAGTATCGTGAGCGCAGATTTATTTCAGAATCGGTTCCCCGAACACGGCGGGCCGGAGAAGAAGAATACCGGCGTATCTCGTGCGAAGTTCTATTATTCTGCGCACACAGTCACGAAACTCCGAGCGGCAACAATAAACGATATATAGTCACTGAAAAGGATTATATCAGCGCCGGGTTTCGTAACTGAAATAGTTCGGTGGGTGTGGCCATGATGGAATCGGCGGGCCTCGAGGTCTTTGAAATCCGTACGTAGCGTGGATTAACCCTTTCCGATGTTACCGCGATGATGACGGGTCAAACGTGACTAATTCGGAATTTCCGATTCAAACTGAAAAAGGATAATGTCGGTTAATATGGAATTCTGCTGTTTTCTAAGAATCTGATATAAATATATAAATATGTAAATATGTAAACATATGAATATATAAATATGTAGATATATAGATATATAGATATGTAAATATATAAATATGTAAATATGTAAACATATAAATATATAGATATGTAGATATATAAATATATAAATATGTAAATATGTAAATATGTAAATATATAAATATATAAATATGTAGATATATAGATATATAGATATGTAAATATATAAATATGTAAATATGTAAACATATAAATATATAGATATGTAGATATATAAATATATAAATATGTAAATATGTAAATATGTAAATATATAAATATATAAATATGTAGATATATAGATAGGTAGATATATAAATATATAAATATGTAGATATATAGATAGGTAGATATATAAATATATAAATATAGTTGCGTATTATATAAATTTAATTTCATTCGAATTGCTCGAGGTTATTTCGCGTGCTGCCACAATACGTACTTGTCCACTCGTTACTCTCGCTACAGCGACATTCGCGTGCAAGCGCTGGAAGGGGCCGAGGCACGAATGCTATTCGCGTTAATCGCGCGAGGTCCCATAGAACAGAACCCGTTCGTTCCTACGTCCGCGGTCGTTCGAACGTTCTTTTTACAGTTACGTCCGCGACACGTGCGCTTATTTATTTCCAGGCTGGTAAAGTTCACTTGCGCTTTTCAAGCCCGAGCCGGTTCACCGCGTTTCCTTTAAACAAGGGAAACGCCGCGAACCGGCAGATTATTTTTGGCTCTGTTTCGCAACCGATCTCTCTACGCGCGGTGGGACCGTTTCATAATCGTCGGCCAAAGCCGCGCGACGCGATTCGCTTTTGTTGCCTCCTATGCGATCTTCTGTTTCAGCTTTTATGAACAACGCGAACACACAATTCGAGCAACGAACGGGGGCTCACGGTCTTTTGAAAATAATCTAGCAATTCTTAGCCGCCCCTCTGAGTCGCTACTCGAGTGCACAGGGTTAATTGGCGGTTTTATGGCGTGGGCGTTTGTATGTATGCGAGTAGAACCGTTAGGATTATTAGATAAATAATAACTGTAGCGAGAAATATTTAACAGTTCGTCGTTGCAAGACTGGTTCAGTTCACCGACCGTGCTCTAATCTCTGACGTCAATAGTTATTGCGTTAGATTATGGCGATCGTGTAAGTACATATAAGACACTAGATATATGTATCTCGCGTGAAAGTGTCGCGCGATTAATCGGCAACAGAAGTACAAATTATCTTGCACCGCAAATTTTGATTTTCGTTAATATAGTTTCGTTTCGGTCGCGAAGTTCTGCCGATACAAGGGAATTATCTTTTTTCCGTCAAATAATCGTTAAACCTATATCGCAATAACTAGAGAATAGCTTGTATACAATAATAATATTATTATATATAATATATTTATTAATTATTATATAATAATAATAATATATAATAATAATTATATTATATTATATATTATATAATTATTATTATTATATTATATATATTATATAATAATTACATATATATTTATACATAGACTAAATTGCGATAAAATGAAATAAACTAACAAATGCAATAAAATTGTCTCTTTCTGTATTAACGTGTTTGAAACATTTTGCTGTCTTCATTGAACTTTTTACCGCGCGTTGAAATCTCCCTACCACGCGTTCATGTCTCTCTACCACGCGTTGAAGTCTCTTTATCACGCGTTGAAGTCTCTTTATCACGCGTTCAAGTCCCTCTCAACCACGTCACAGCTGCGATTGTATTATCCATTACCGACAAAAAAGCGAACGGAAATACAGTAGATTTTCCCTAATAACCTCGGTATCTATAAAAAAGAAAAACGAATATTTTAGGCACAATCTGAGCGTCAATTAGGGAGAATTTACTGTAATATCTTAGTTATATTTAACGAAAGATTATTATTTCTGTCTAGACAGCTAACCGAACTGGTAAAACGACTAGAGGAAAGTGATCAAATATGCGTATAAATAATGCGTAAAAATAACCTGCTACATCTAGGAAGATAACCGCTGTAACCGCGATTGACATTCTGATAAGTCCATAAACGTGCAACGTAATTTGAAATCGATTACACGATCAAATACCGGTAACGTATTTTCAGTGGAACTCGTTCGATACTTTCTCGATCGGCACACAGCAGGAAGTATCTGGTTGAATTCTAACGGGTGTACGTGCACGAAAGGAGCAAGAAGTCGCGCGTGCCAAAGCTTGGGCAACGAAGTTGTAAATAATAGGTCGAGTACAGCCGTTCTCCTTTCGATCGTCCTTCGACTTGATCGCTCGCATTCGCGGCGCACACATTCGCGCGAGTCCTTAAATTATGGTCGCTCGGTGAACAACCGATCATCGCTTTGTCAATTTTTCCACAAAGCTTGTCGGATTTTTTAAAACGTCTGTTCGCTTAATGGTATTTACTATTAATTGTAACTATATTAACAACAATTGATCGATTTGATAAATGACATTTTCCTACATTTCTAATAATCTGCGGAATATTAATTTAATTAAAATATAATGTCGCCTTAGTTTCTTTTATTTCCCTATCCCGACTTCTATCGTTATCGATGCTAACTTGTTATAAATAAACTATTGTAACCGAACAGTTACGAATAAGTGCTTTTAATACTGGTTGCTTTAGCAGTTCGGCGAGCTTAACAGTTATTACAGTTCCTCGAATGAATTCGTAATAGGCTCGTACCCGTTTAATAATCGACGAAACCGTTAACCTGTGCCACCGTGTGCATGCCATTACTCGTTGCAAATACGTATGTAGATGAGTACATACGTGTACGGTATATGTATCGGATAAAGAAGAATGCGAATAATTACTTGAACAACGAGACAAGAACACGAGAGTATTTATACCTTCTCGATCTCATCAATTAGAAATGCATGCTTCTGCTGCGCTGATTAAAACCATTATCCGTTGCCTTCAGAGTCGCCTTATAAACAACCGGTACGGCCTCGCACGATTTCAAATCAATTAAAATGGCGACCATTTCGCTGCCGGTGCCTGTATCGCGTCTATCGTACGCACATTTGCATATCGGTATCGAGCTTCAAACGTTACGTGCTCGTTACGTGAAAATGCGACAAAACAAAATCCGATATCGGGAAGAACCCGCTATCGCTGTAGCGTCCACGTTACCATGGAATGTACTATCAGATCAAATTTTGCTTCTCGATCGTTGCCACGGACGTACAATTTACTCGCTAAAATACACGGGCACCACCTGAAAAGGAATAACTTTTTAAAAATTGTTCGCGATGAGCTGAATTTTGTTGCGTTGATCCTCGGAGAAACTGAATCGTAATTGAAAAATTGTGATTCGGTTGGGACGATAAGAAGTATCAGAAACGTTACCAAAATCGAGTGCCTCGTTTCACCCTATTCTGTTGAATTTTCAGAGGTTTCGTACACTCTCGAAACGCGCTGCGTTTAGGCATCATTCTCACTGGTATTGTTGGCCACGATATAGCGTGACCGGTGCTGCTCTATGTATAGCGTGCAACGCGAATCCAGCGCCTTTTACATTCACGTCGGATAAGAGAAGTTACGGTACAATAAGCAGGAAACATGTTATTTCAAAACATCGTCATAACGCCGCGAACATGGTAGGGACAGGAAAAGAGTTGGCCGCTTAACTTCGTGCGTTCATGCAAATGCCTGTTTTTCTAGAATCTCTCTCTCTCTCTCTCTCTCTCTCTCTCTCTCTCTCTCTGGAAGAAACCGGAATCTTACTTCGAACTTATGTACATAGACTGTTATAGCACCCTATTACAGTTTAAGAAAATAGCGTGAAACGCTGCGAAAGATCTTAAAGAAACATCGTCTTAAAAGGGTCGTTGTAATTCGATGGAATAAACGGCGGTATTCGATCGATTTCAAAATGGTTTTCCGGCATCAAATCATCGCGATCGATGCGCGATTAATTGTACAATTTTCTGATTAACAATCTTCCAATTGCAACGCAGAACTTACCGAGTAATTTTTTCCATTCTTTCGCCAAACTTTCGTAATTGATAAACATGTCCAAGGATCTAGAGTATGTTTTTCGAACGATTAAACAAAGAAAATTATATGAAAAATGTTTTCTCCGTGGCGAACAGGAAGATACAATTACTTACAGAATCGAGATTATCCACAAATTTCGATCAAATTTTCAGCACGCATATAAGTTATCGAAATCCACGAATGGCATTGTTTAAATTTTTGTTGTAGGTCCAGATAAAAAAGTTGAAAAACGAGTTTCTTTTGGTCATCCCGAAGTGAAAAATTTCAAAAAGTCACCGCCTAGTAGACTGGCCCCTTTATTATCTAAAAAGAAATTCAAGTAGTAACTTGAAGTTCAGTTTTAAAAATGTTGTTGCGTTTTGAAAGGTGTACGCGCAATTTGGTGTGTTCCCGATTAAAGCTATTAATTTAGAGGTTAGTCGTCGGGACAAGTCGCTTTTTACGCGACTTTCTTTTCTATAGCTCTCCGGCCTGCATTAATTATGTCTATGTCCGTTGTGCTAGATTTGCCTCGTACTAATTATCCTTTCGTATCTTCTATTAATATACAGCTAAGTATATTCTTCCCGCACGGTAACCTAAAGTGCGTTTACGCGGTGCATGTAGTGTCGAGACTAATACCGCATCGATACCTATATCGATACCAGTCGACAAATTAACTTAGTGATTAATTTCAATTTCGATTCATATCGATTTTAACCACTTAGGCGCATCGATCTATTTGTAAGATCAATTTCGTATGTTTCTTTTTCGATCGAACTGGGTGCAGTTTCTTTCGGCAAGTTGTTCTAGAATTATTCTAAAATGTGCGAAATTGATGAATATGTTTCGCAAGCATTTTAACCTAAATCGTAGGAGAAAGATTTTTGTTGTAAGATGTAAAATTGTCATTTCCTTACGACGTGTATACACGTCGTAATACACATCCACAGATAAGAGGTTAAGTACTTTGGTATCGAATTATTTGAATGTCATCAATAATCTCAGTATCGATTCCATCACACAGGTATGTGGCACATTAATTTCTATCAAATATATATATAATATATTATAATTATATATTATTATAATAATTATAATAATTATATTATAATACTTATTATATTATACGTTGCATTATGTATGGCAGATAGCATGAAATTCTACGCGGCGGCGGAATAGGATTCTCTCCGGTAGAAAGAGAAGGACTGAATCATCATTTCTCATTCGCGTCCGTGATCCAAAAATAGTGTTTCGAGTTGTCCAGGGAATGTGATCCGGTTGAAGCTGGCCTTTTTTCTTTCACATTTTATTCGGAGTCGAATTGCGGCGCATAGCGCGCGGGACAGTGACCAAAGGACTCGGAAATACGTGTAAACACCCGACGAATGCGAACACAAACGAGCATTCCCCGAATACAAATTTTATGGAGATCGGCTGGTCATATTTTATACGGTTATTTTTCTGCTGATAACAAAATATTCGTACGATGCCAGGCACCGATTTATATGCCGGATATTTTACAATTAATTTTGAAAAACGTAGAAAATCCGCGATGAGATAATTCGAAGGTTTAAACAGGTAGCATCGCGATGCGCTAGTTTACGAATTTATTATGTCACGAAAAGAACTGTTAAGCGACTATTATTTTGAAATAACTGAAATAATGAAATAATAATTATTTTGAAATAATAATGTTATACTTCCACGCAGGATATTGTAATAATTCGTTTAATGGATGATGTTGCAAAGCGCGATGAGACCTTCGTGAATTCCATAATCTCATCCGAAATTGAATCATCGTATTGGGAAAATCCAAGAGAACGCGTCGAATCTTTCGATCTGAAGAACACATTCATTACTGGAACTCGCGGGATAGGCCTCGTCGCTTATTAAACTATTTGCTGCACCAGGAGCAACAAAAGTGATCACGGGCATGTAAATGATCATGAAGTAAAATAACATGTTATGCGAAATAATAATTCAAATAATGTTGTTACAATTGTGCCCAGGTCTGGTACTCGAGCATGACTCCCGGAAATGTTATAGATCACGGCAAGGAAAATTAGGAAAAATCTCCGTACGTAGTGGACAAGATCGTCGAACGTGATTTGCAAATAGCGTTACGGAATTACGCGGTAAGGCGATCGAGCGTCTTCCTGTAAATCTGTTAACCTTGAGAAAGAAACTTCGGAGAAAGTGAATGTCAATGTGCACGGCGATATTGAAACTTCTTGTGCAGTTTTCCTAAGAGTTTTCACACGTTTGCACCGCAGAGTTTTCACATGTTGGCACAATTACACGGTTCCGTACCGTGCGACCGATGCGGTTATGATAGATCGTTTAACGGTTCGCGTTCATGTTTTAACATTAAAAATTGAACTTTCGAAACGGGGAAAGTGTATAATAGTTCGCAGACAGATCAGGTATTCTCCAAGATAAGATGCGACTGATTCTCATCTTTGTTCCTATATCATTTATATTCTTTTCGAGGTCATCGCAAATCGATCGAAATATTTGTTATTAGTAGGTCGAAAGAAAATGATAAGAAAAGAAAGTTCTGTTAAAATTTGAGGGAAGGCGCTCGTCGATAAATTCTTTTATTATATATATATATATATATATATCATTAATATATTATATTATTATATTAAATATTATTGTATTAAATACGCAGAAAGTCTGTTCCGATAGTTTATTTTCAAGTAAAATATCAGTTACCCTGTTCTTTTTGCAACCAAAGTTTCATGTTTCGTCTAATTTGCATATGTTAAGAAAATAAACAGCGAGAAAGTTGAATAGTCACTTTCTACTTACATTATGTTCTTTCCAGCCAACAGAACCCGGTAAAATTCTTTACGAAGAAAATTTGGAAATTCGACGGGCACAGTTCGGACCGAACAGGATGTTGCCGAACAAAACTTCGAAAAGGCGGTTATCCGAATGGTTCTTACACAATAGGTAATAACGAAGAATAATCTGTAAATTGCGTAAATCTTAATCCGCCTTTGTGTCGGGTCACAATGTCGAATCAGATGTATCCGTTTTAGGAAATCGCGACGGCTATTCGTCTTGTTATTGCCCCCCCCCCC